AATATCTAGGTGTGAAACGAACTTAAATACTTCATTCTAAACTGTTATCACATGTAAATTGTATCGTTTATTATAAATTCTTTTCAAATGTCGAAAAGTTGTGAGAACTGTTTCACTTGCACACTCTCAAGAGTTAGAGCACATGCACATTCGTATTTTGCTTTCACATGTTTTCCATAGCGTTTCTTCCGCTTCTTCGCTGCCAACAGCAGTTTTCAATTTCATTGATGTTTGTATGTGTGTGTGTGTGTATGGGCCATATCCTGACACAGTGCCTACTCAAAGTTGGCCAAGCTCACACTCTGGCTCTGGCTCTGGCATATAATGGAATTGTGTTGCCTTTTTTCACCAATGTACAATATTCTTAACAGTGTGTGACTGAATCTTTGTGTGTGTGTGTGTTTGTGATGTGGTGTGCGTTGCGTGTATGTGTGGGTTTGTTGGTTTGCCGGCGCGTGTATTTATTTATTTTGGTTTGAATTTCATTTTGTGGCTGCCATTTGCTTATACAATTCTCACTCTCTACTGCTTCTCCCATACAATTCTATCTACTTCTCTCCTTCCCCCGACCCCAAAGAAGGCTCGTGTTATTTTAACGCATTTTGAACAACTTTGCATTACAAATTTCTTCCTTTTTTTTCTTGGTGACTCGTAAAATGACGTGCGAAAATTTACGTCGCTTTTTGGCTTTGAAGTGCTAAAAATTAACAACTGTATTTTGTTTTTTTTTTTTTTTTTTCATATACCCTTTAGCTAATATATAGAAAAGGAAGCAAAGTATTCAAATTGTACAAAGCGAAATTTATTATGGAATAAGCTGGAAAATGTAGCCTATACATAAAAATATCATCAATATGATTTTAATTGGCTTACACGATTGTATGGAGAGCGATAGTTGTAGGTAGTAGTAGTAGGTTGTGTTTTGTATGCGGTTATTTTATATAAGCTGGTACATTTTTGAATCACTCCTTTATCTTTTATTATACCCTGATTTTTTATATGTACTCAAATATAAACTTCTTCATTCACATCTTTTTATTTGTACTTAACAGGGCATCTCTTTGTCTATCAATTGTTAAAATTTGTAAACTGTCGTCTGTGTTGGTCATTTGCATGGAAATGCCATTGGAAGAGTAAGAAAAATAAATTGCGCTTTTAGTAATTGGCAAACGTTTTACCAATAAGTAACTCCAGCTGCTGAGAAATGCTCATATGTTATGTGAAGAGCAACAGAGAAAGAGAGAGAGAGAGAGAGACAGAGAGAGAGAGAGAGAGAGAGAGAGAGAGAGAGAGAGAGAGAGAGAGAGAGAGAGAGAGACAGAGAGAGAGAGAGAGAGAGAGAGAGAGAGAGAGACAAAATGCTAAGTAAACAAGGCTAATTAAGATAAATTAGGCTTGTAAAGACAAATTGGTACAAGCTGGTATTTTAATAATAACATTAGGTTGTAAAATAAATTATAGATGGATATCTGATATGTCTATTCATCTGACAATTGATAAGGCTTGGGCTTGGGATAAAGCCACAAAACAATGTTAAGGTTTTCAGAACTAGAAATGAATATAAATGAATAGAACAGATTGAGATTTTTGTATTAAAGTAAATCAGAAGTATCGTAAATATTTTGAAAATATTTAAAAGATATATCGATATAAATAACTTTAATTAGTTTGTGATACATAACTAAATAAATCGTTTATATCGATATATTGACTCTTTAGCTCATAGAATCAATATAAACTTGAGATCGATATATGTATGTATATACATATGTATCAAATCCAATTACTTCTAAAAGTAGAAAATAATCTCTATATTTTCTATTAACATTGTAGTAAATAAGCAGACGCAAAACTAATTGCTTATAATTCCCAACAGATTCAGGCAACGAAAGCTTTTTTGCCTGTGATTGTAGATATTATTGCCCAGCCATAATAAATAATAAATAAAAACAATCGTTTTGTTTGGATAAAATAGATTAGATTATGCTACCCAGAAATCGATTAGTTGCCTTAGATAGATAATAAGTAAATTAGTTTCCGTTAACAAAGCTATTCAAATTTTTCAAATTTGAATTCTGATGTTATTCTACTGTTATGTTACATGAGTTTCCTTTGTTACACAAATTGTTGCGCTCTTTTTGGGGATTCGTTTTTCTTTTTTAATTTGGAGCTCTGTGATTTATGTGCCCCGTTTTGACTATCAAAGCTACATTTACATGGCATTGTGCAGTCGAGCTAGGCGAATGTGGTCTGGTCTGGTAATTTATAGATAAGCGAAGCTCATCAGGCACGTGTCGCCAGCTAGAGGCAACGCGCACTCAATATGTTTGCGATTAACTTGCTCTGGACATGCAGGAAAAAAATAAAAATAATAGAGAGAACAAAAAAAAATTGGGACTTTTTCATGGCCCAGTGATGCCAAAATAATGTGCCCACAAAAATGCTGCAACAACTTTGCCGCCGTCCAGCCTCCATCCACCTGCAGCCCCAGCTTCATCTCCAGCCCCAGCTCTTGCCGCTTAAGCGGAACCTGTTGTTAAACATAATAAGGCTGATGATTTGTGGGTCGTTCTCTTCTAGCTGGCTTTAATTTATGGCCACAAGCGACTCGTGGGCAGCCTACTTGCCTATTTACGAGCCCCACTCAAGTGTGATCCATAAAGTGGAAGCTGTTGTTGTTGGTGTGGCTCTACCTAAGTGATTTTCCATGTTAAAGCATACTTTAGCTATAATTGGCTAATATATATTTGACTAATTGCTGCACTTGAAGCCTGCACATATGGACATCGAGCGTTTTTCTTAATACTCATTTGTGTTAATGAATTCAAATTAACATGGGATTAACATGATTTACACAGCTTGTAAATATAATTATTTAAATGGGTAGCATTAAAATTATTTTACTTTTTGCATGCGACACGACACAGCTAAATATTTCAGTTTCCATTTTATTTAAAATACTATAAAATGAAAGATTTTCTTCCTTACTTTCGCTCTCTCTTTTATATTCTAAATAAGATTACCATATGTGGCAATCTACACATCATTTACATTTTGTCGCCCTTACTTAGTTTCATATAAATTCATTTTACTCTTACACATGTACACTGTTCAAAAATTAATGAACATGTTAATTTATAAACTTACCTATTGAATATAAAATATTATAGGTATATGAGAGCCAACATGAATTTTTTGTATTTTAAATACATCATGCTCAATTTTAAATATATACAATTGATATTGTTCTTAAAAATATAAATTAAAATAAATTTAAGCCTACGTATAAAATAAAAAATTTACAAATTAAAAAGAAAGTGTTTATTTAATTCAATGAATTTGTTAAAATTTACATAATTTTTGTTTTAAAAAATAATTGTGTTTATATATTTTTTTTTTCTTCAATTTATTTGTTTTTATTGTTATATCATAAATTAACTTTTTTGCTATTTTTAAATTTTTTTTTTTTTTTTTTTTTTAATATAATATATCTTGTATATATTGTTTAATATTAAATTGTTCTTTTGATTTTGTTTTTATCATAAATTTCATTTTCTTATATTTATATGTATATATTTTTTTAATTATTATATATTTATTATTGTATATATGATTTTTTTTATTTATTTTTTTTATATATATATTTTTTTAGTTAACGGTTGTGTTTTTCAATCTTCTATTATTTTCCTTAATTTAAATTGCGAAACGTTTTTGCAGTGTCAATTTTACAATTTTTTTTTTTTTTGGTCAATTTTCCAACGAATTGTGTTAAAACCACAGCGCAAATTGAGTGAAGCGAACTGTAGGAAGAGTGGAAACTGTTGGAGGGGGGCTGGAGGTTCGAGTCATGCAAGAGGACAAAAGTGAACAGAATAAAATGGAATGAAACGGAAGTCCCAATGGTCGAATTTATGATATAGCCTTCTAAGCGAAGGTCAGCATTTGGCCAGATGACATTTTGTGGAAAGGACTCGCTTGAGCGATCAATTAATTTAAGCGCCAATGTTATGGACCCTGAAAGGGTTAGTCGATGGACTAGACGGGGTAGTTGGGGTAGGTGGGGTCAGTGGGTCAACTGGCTTGGCGAATGTTTTATTTGTTCAAGGCTCTCGCTCGCTAGTGTCGAGAGTGCTAAGGCTGAGTTGAGGCCCACTGTCATTTGCATGCTCTGCGAGTCTTGGGTGTCTTTTTCATTTTTTTGTCTCTTTCAATTTATGAAAGTGCATGAAAGGACAATTATTGTAATTGAAATTGACGCTGAATGACATCATTTTACAATTTATCCTTTACGTTTCTTAAGTGATGGACATTGTTAGCAAGGGACTTAATCACATTGAGTACGGCAAGTGGATGGTGTATTGTTTGTATATTGGGTAAATGACAGGTAAAGTGTTTATGGCTTGAATGTAAGTGAGTTATGAATGAGGAACAAAAGATTGCAGCTATAAATATATATGTATATAATATTGCTTATATTGAAATGTTTTTGTATGCTTTATAATTCAGCTCTACTTAATCCTAGGCGAATAGTATGCAAAATCTATGTATGCACTATACCTATATATTTAACCATGTACAAATCCTAAGATATCTAAGATATCAGTAGCAAAATCAGAAACTTTTTGCCTAATGAAATTGAACAGTACGTCTGTAAAATTTATTTATAAGTTATACATTTTTAACTAAATACTTTAGTAAAAAAAACTAATACATTGGGTTCCCCTTTATAAATAATTACACCGATTCTTTCGTCGTACTTAGTTCGTCGTACTAACTTAATTGATCTAAAACTTTTGCAAATACTCTCAAGTATTTTCCTCTCTACCAAGCGCAGCTCAAGCTAAAGTTGCTCAAGTCTCATTCAAATTAACTACACTCAACTTCTTGTTCAGCTGTTCTAAACTTTCTGCTGTTAATTAAGCCACATCTGGCTTATTGCCAATGAATGAAAATCAAAAACCGCAATTACATTGCTGGAACAGCTGTTAAGTAAAGTCACATAAATTAGATATAACTTTTAATGGACTGCGCTTCAAAATCAATTAACAAATTTGAACGACTTGCTCAAAACTTGGGAAAACACTGAAAAAAAAGCTCATTATGGCATAATAATATTCCAAGCTGCTTTCGATGAGTCATTGGGATGATTTTTGATTTTCAATTTAACGGTCAATGAACTTGATGGGCAGCTCCTTGTGTGATTGTTGCTGTTGTTGGAGCTCATTAGATAGCCATCGATACGAATGGCACTTATATTTAAAATGCCCAACAGCAGGACATGGCCATTAGGAAGGACCACTCGCCATACTTCTAACTGATGCTGCATGCTCCATCCGTCTCTTTTGCACCATCTCATACCGTACGGATTTTGTGTGATTTATGATTACGGGTCTGTAAAATGTTCGCTTGCCATTTGTCGCTGTCTGTTGTCCGGGTTACGAAGCTATCATCCGATCAAATTGAAGGCTCGCCTCATCGTTAACCAACGTAAAAGTTCTGCTATGCTTCTTCTTCTTTCTTCTCTCATTTTATGTTCTGTATTGTACGTATTGTGGTCCGGCGTGGTTGTCGTCGTACTGCCAAACTGTCAAACAAATGCAATAACTTTTAATGAGAATTTATGTGTTTAATTTTATCAACTGACTTCAATAAATTTTTCAGCTTCTTTGATTCACTTTGATTTCGTTTGTTCAATGACCTTTGAGTATTAAATTAAATATAGAAAAATTAGGTTAAAATAAATAAAGTACATAATTGAAAAAAAAAAAAAAAAATTTGATGTATTAGATTTTCTTGCTTGAGATTCTTGCGCATTTTATTAACTATGATTAGTTTATCTAAGTCTGTCATAAATGAATTATAGAATATTTTTTGTATATGAGTATTTTAATTATGTTTATTTTTTCAATTAGATGCATATATGCATATAAGTGTTTTATAATTAATTTATATATTTTTATGTGAAAATTGTGAATTTTAAGTAAATGGATTTTTTTAAACAGACGGGAAAAATCGTAGTTAAGCAATATATATTGAGTATATATATTATATATATAGATTCTTCTAAAGAAGAAAAAACGTAAATTCATTCAGATTCAGATTTTAGTACTTAGGATATTTCCAAGTCGAGCACTCCCTGACTTTTAACTTGGCTTTTGTAATTGGTTTTGCACATTCGACCACAGTTTTTGCTTTTGATGTTTAATTAAATTGTGTTTTATTAGTGCCCTGTGTTTTGATTCACATTTAATATCGAATTAAAGTCCAACCAAAGCGCGAGCTCAAATTGTATTTGTTTATATGTCTGATACTTTATGGCCAAGTTAAAAGGATATTGAATTGAATTAGCTGCACGCTAATTGACTTGGTTTATTGGCAGCATAACGAACGAATAACCCTAATGGACCCTGGTATAGTTACAAAGCTGGCTAAAGGCTTACAGGCTAACGAAATTCACCCTCTACAACAACTTTAATTATAGTTGAAAAGCAAATGGGGAAGGCATTGAAGGTCGTGTGTGTGGAAGCTACGGACAAACATAAACTAACTGGGCTTGCTGTCCAAGTGAACTAAAAAGATCAGAATGAAAGGAGGAAGAGAAGGCTAAAAAGAGAGAAGAGAAGAACAGTGAACACTGAAAACTGAAGACTCAACAGAAAGGAGAGAAGAGGAAAACTGAACAGTGAAGAGTGAAGACTGAAGAGAGAAAACGGAGTACTGAAAGGGGAAGATTGAAGAGAATAGAGAGAAGAGGCACAACTGAAGACTGAAGAGAGAAAAGTGAACAGTGAATACTGAAGAGAGAAGAGGTTAGAATGAAGACTAATGAGAGATAAGGGATGACTGAAGAGAGTAGAGTGAAGACTAAAGGTTGAGTACTATGAGAAAAGAAAAGTGAAGAGTAAAGATATGAAAAAAAAGAGAAGAGAAGAGAGACGATGGAAAGAGTTAGGAAAAAAAAGAAATTAGTACAACAGAAAATATAAGACAAGAATTGAAAGGAAAACAAAAAAGAATGACGAAACGAAGGAAATAGAAGAAAACAATTGAAAACGAATTATGAAAAAATATGAATGCAGGAGAACAATAAAAAAGAAACAAAAATCATTATCTACGGTCAAGTAAGCCGAAATTTATTCGTTTGCTCTTCTTCTTTCACAATTCTAAACGTTTCCTTTTATACACATATTTAGGTACTAAACTGAGCTCCATACGCAAACATTTAAATATATGAACATCATCATAATTAATTCATGATAACGCAGACAAGTTTCAGAAATGATAAGCTCTTGCAATATTCATTGCCTGACTGCAATCGTAATTAAGGCACATCATTTGGAAAACTCTTCGCAGCGCATCTGAGGCCCAGACATGCAATTAGGCATAGCATACTTATGCGGGCGGCTCAAAGGCTGAGCGTAATTGAATTGTCTGGCAATCGAGGAGTGCAGCAAGAACAATAATAACGAACCAGTTGGAGATGCTGGCTACAATTATCACTTGCTCCAAAAACTTTGGCCAGCAGCTGAGCAGAAAGATTTCAAGCGCTTAATTAGCCACACGTCGACGGGAAATTCGCTGAGCTTTAATATGGCCTAATTGAAATAATGTGTGTGTGAGTGGGTGTGTGGGTAGGTGTTTGAGTATATGTGTGGTGCGTCTGTGCATGAGTGTTGGTAACTTGCTGATAGTATGAATATTGCGCCACATGCACAGACACGTCCGTTTCGATTCTTTCCATAGCTCTCTAGCTCGCACAGCTCTATGTGTGCTGTTTCTGTCTCTCTCTTTTCAACACTTAGACAAAAATAACCGTATTTTTAACAATTTCTACGGCAAATAGCTAATGCTGTTGTAAAGCTTTTAGCAGCGGTTTGTAAAACTTTTGATTTGAATGTTTAACACAAAGTGTTTTTATTGTGTGCTCAACAAAACTTTCTGAAATTGAGAGAATACAAATACAGTTTATGATAGTGAAAATTAAAAATATAAAATGGTTTCTAAATTCTGTAATAGGTGAAACAATTTAAAAACTTTACGTACAGTATATTCTGATTATTATTATAGAATATAAGCTCCCTATGTCAATACGTATTTCAACTAATTGTAATACATTTTTAAAATATATTTATAATTCGATAAAATAAAAAATATAATTTTAATTTAAATAGAAAAATGTATATATAAAAGCTTATTCAATAGCCAATTTTTACACATCATTTGTACTTCTTCTCTGCAGTTTTCTCTCAGTGTAGTTAACATCTATTCTATTCGCTTTGGCATATTCATGTGCGTCGGTCAACGGCTTTATTGAATCTGCTGCCGGAGGCTGCTTTTGCAGCTGTTGCCATGGATATATTTTCCTTTATCGTTGCTCTTGTTGTTGTTGTTCAAGCGTGTTGGCAACGATTATTGTATTAATATATGTGTGAGTGTGCGTCCGTGTGTGTGCGTGTGTTTCGCTGAGCTGTGATAAAGCGCAAAAAAGTTTCACTGGCTAAAACAAAAAGCAGCTTCAGTATTTAGTTGCTTTTTGTTGCAATTTCCACTGTGGCGAAGCTGCTGTAGCTGCTGCTGCTTCAACTACTTTTTCTGAGTGAGTGAGTGGCCACAGCAAAGTAAGAGGGCAAAAAAAAAAAAAAGAAAAAAGAAAGAATTATGATTGGTTGAACAACCATGTAAATATCCTATATGTAAGCTGAGAGCTTTAGCTAGAGTGCACTTTGACTTGATATAATAAAATGTTCTTTGAGCCTGAATGCTCTTTGAAAGTTTTTTAAAAGCATAAAAGTTACAGCCGACTCTTATAATTTAAGGTTTTAATATACTTACATTCCATATTATTACCATTAGGCGTTATTGCATTATTGTAGAAAGTTTTAAGCAATAATAAATAAAACTTTAAAGATTATCTCAAGCTTTCGATCTAAGCTTAAGTTGAGTATTTCTTGTACTCGTCCCCTTTAAACAAATATTATTATAAAATATATTATATAGCTTTTACAAAATTTTATTTTGTATATAGTCTAAAATTGCTTCAGCTTCTGCAACTTACATTTATTATAATATATTTTACTTAAAGCGTTAAAAATGATCATGCTAAAAGCTCTCAATTTTCTTTTAATTTAATATTTTAATCTTTCGCTCTTTAATATTCTGTTCATAAAACGCAACTTCATAAAATTTTCAACAGCTTTCTTGGCTGTAGCTGGCTCTGTCGTTGTGTATACCCTTCTCGAGCATAAATTCTTAATAGCTTTGCAGAAAAGTTTCGCATTTACGCTAATTTATGTGCATTTGGGCATCCAGAAGCACCGCCGCTCGACCGATGCCTTTTCAATTTTTTTTTTTTTTTTGGCTCTGCAGTTCTCAACTTTTAATGACAACTTAAATGTCAAATAAAAAACTTTTGCAAAAACCGAATGAAAGTTGGCAGTGTTGTAAAATGCCAAAATGGCGCATTCAACAAAATGGCAAACGCCACCGAATTAATTAATTATGTTAATTACCGAATGCTGTCATTAAACAGTCGCTTTATCTTCATCTCTTAATTTTTAATATGCACATTAATTAATTTGCCAGGCAAATTCAAATAGCTTTAAGTTCTTCATTCCAAAGGACTTGCAACAAGTTGCAAGACGAACGACAGACAGGTTAGGGGTACGAAAAGATGCCAGTTCATTGCCATCGAAAAGTGGGATTTGTTTGAAATGCCCTATGTTTGGGTATTTAGATTATGATAAGCTAGGAGTACTGAAGATATGTCTATCATATTTAGCACATTTTACTTTTCATACCAAGAACAAATGAAATATTTGGATATGATTTGAAAAATATATTTGTAATCTTATGTTCTCTGTTAATTCAGCATTTAAAAAATTGCTCGGTATAAAATGAAGTTTATATTAATATAAAAAAATTTATATATATGATGGAATAGAGGTTTTTCTATTCTGAATATTGTGCTTTATATCTTGCATATCTAGTTTAAGTCATACAAAATATTTATATACTATGTTATAAGAAGTTTAATATGTAGTAACTTAGATAAAACGTGTCCCCTGTGCTATCATAGAGCAAGCGTATCTAATATTCGACTATCGAGGAAACAGGCATATCTATCGCTGACTTCTACTTTTCTTCGGCTCAGACAGAGGCAGGGTGCAGTGGCCTTAATGGGTCGCTACGTGGCATATGCTGGCGTCCTTTGCCCAAATGCCTCGTTAAAGGTGCAAAATAATTGGCCATTTAGCATTTTTACAGTAAGAAGCACAGCCGGCAACAACAATAACGAGAACAAATTGAATTTTCAATTGTCGTAGAGCAATATTTGTTTGCTGTTTAATTTGATGTGATTCTTGGGAATTTAACATTTTTGTTGCCATTTTTATGGCCATTATCTTTGGCGCTGAATGGCCGGCCACAGGTGGTTTTGTTGCACGTTTCTCTCTCTCCCTCGCTCTATCCATCTTTCACTCTCGGTCAGCCGCTGAGGTCAATTTACTGTCACGTACGCACTGCCCCCGAAGTTGAATGACACGCTGAGTGGGTCCAAGGCAAGTAATAGACGGACAACGGACGGACGGAGGGTCATATAAAATTTGCGTGTCCATAGAAATATTTAATAATAAAAACAAATATATTTGAGTATAAAAATTGGACATAAATATCATAAAAGAAATTAAATTGCAGCAAATTATGAATTACATTTTACACAACAGTAAAAAACGGTTTTTAAAGATATGGATATAAATAAATATATATATTTACTTTTGTTGGCAAACATAATTTAAAAATATAAATGAAAAATATATCCTAATGTTAAAAATTTTATTT